TCAGCAGGATTATTGCAGTCACCCCGTCCTGGTCTTTCTCATCTCTCCCTCTCCAGTCTCCCCACCTCCAGCTGCCATACTAATCCACCAATTAACACTATTTCAGTTTCTTACTAAAGAGTGTATGGTAGCCACATACTGTAAAGTTTAAATCCCCCTGTTCTCTGAAAGGCACTTTAAGGCCCTCCATGATCTGAGCTCACCTTACTATCCCTCTCTTTCCAGCCAGGGTTTTGCTTTAGGCAAGTTGGTAGCATTGTTTGGCACATATGCCATGCTCATCCTCCTTTCTGTGCCTTTACTAACGCTGTTTCCCCTACCTACAGGTTTTTCTCTGAACCCTTTGCCATCTTTCTAATTGTTTCTCCTTTCTCTAAACACCTGCTGCTTTTATTAGCTGAATTGTCCATTTAGTATCCCTTAAGTGGGACTGAGTATAATTCTCTAATTATTGCCTGTTTGTGTTTTATTTCCCCCAACTATGACAGTTTTTAAGCATTTTGGTGTCATGGTCCTTGTATTCACTGTATGTAGTATACTGGTTAGATGATTGCCACTCAGCTATTGATTGGTTAAGTAATTGATTTTCTTTGTGTCAGTGAGGGTACTATGGGTTACATTTATTTTAATGGTTTCATATCTTAGCCCCAGGTTTGGGGCTTCCTTTCAGCTTTCACAGAAAGAACTTTATACTATTATCCTTTTATTATTAAGTACTGCCATGATGCCATAACCTCTTTTATTCTATGTTAGGCACCTAGATAGGGAAAAGTTCCCAGTTTTGGTATTACTGCCTCTTCAACACCCATCTTTTTTTTTTTTAATCTTTATTTTTTATTGGAGTCTAGTTGATTTACAAAGTTGTATTCGTTTCAGGTGTACAGCGAAGTAATTCACTTATAGATATACGTGTATCTATTCTTTTTCAGATTCTTTTCCTATATAGGTTACTACAGAGTATTGAGTAAAGTTCCCAGTGCTATACAGTATTCAACACCCATCTTGATCTCAAACCTAGCTGAGACTGTGAAGTGCCACTTCCAAATTTTTATATAAAAGAGGAGTGACTACAAAAAAAACAAAGGCTTTTATGTAGACCTGGAAGGACATGAGAGAATAAAAAACTCTTTTGTTAAGGTGGAGGAAATAGTTACCGTCCCAGAGATATGCTGCTACAATTCATTCCATTTTCTGTTGCCTCTTACCATTAAGATTTTTTGCAGCCAATCTCGAGTGTTCGCTCTAATGGAAGTTGATCTCGTAAAAGGCTAAATTATCATTTAAAGTGTGACTTAATATATTTTACGTGTTTTGTGACTAGACAGTACATACTGCATTAAAAAACTCCCACGGAATCCTGAGAGAAAAGAAACTATAGGAGATGGAGAGCAACAGTATGTTTATGTGAAAGATGGAGATGTGATTAAGACTGAAGGCGCCACGCTAAGGTACGTGAACGTGAATGTCCTTGAGACAGGGAAGGCGGGGCTGGGAGGGAGGGGGTCTGTGTATATGTCTTGTAAAAAGACAAGACATATTTGCTTGTCTGAGTGAAAATACCTCAGGAAAATACCTCAGCAGATCCAGAAGATCTGCTAACATTGGTTTCTCTGGGAAGAGAAATTGGGTTGCTTGAGTAACAGGGGAAAAGAGGAGTTTTCACTCTATCTGCCTTTTTAAAATTATTTGTTTGAATTAGTTGATCACCTTCTTTTAATAAATAAAATTTAAATTAAAAAAAATAGATTAGCATTTCCTGCTAGGGTGATTTAGGGATTTCTACCCATCAGTTAAATTCAGGGTTCTCTCGTGCTCTCACTTCCAAAAGGTGACCCATCCCTAAAGTAAACACATTGCCGGCCAGACCCATAATCCCCCGTTACCTATCTGAGGGATTCAAAAGGGTGTTTCAAACTTGTCAACTTTGAATCTGAACTAATTCTGGTTCTCTCTCCCCCACAATCTGTACTTGTTTTTTGACTTCAGGACATCTGCTCTCTCAGTACTTAAGATTTTTTTTTCCTTCTAAGATAGAAGCTGGCTCCTCTTCACCCGCGTACTCCCCTGCATCCCTCCCCGTGGCCCTCCCCATCTAATCAGGTTAGTTCTTAACCTCAGAAATATTTGGCAATGTCGCCTCTCTTTCTCCACGTCCACGACCACTACTTCTTGCTCAGTCTTCCTGTCTGCAGGCTCCTCCCTTTCCAATCTGACCTTCATTCCCCGTGTCAGTTGGAACCTGGAACAGCCCTCACTGCACACAAGGTAATGTTTGTTCTCGTGACCGTGTCAGTCTGGCCCCAGACTTCTCTGGTCTTCACTCCCATCACTCCCCTCACAGGCATAGTTAGCAGGGACACTCTGTGCAGCCGTGCCTTTGCTCGTGCCTTGCCCTGTACTAGGCATTGCCCCTGCCTCGCAACTCATCTCCCTGACAGACTCTTATCTGTTCATGCTTCAGACCTAATCCACATGTTACTTCAAGAACCCTCTCCAGGCATAATTCACTATTCCCTCCACTAACTTTGCTATAACCTTTATTATTTTGTATTAAATTGTATTGTAAGTTTTTTTGTATGTAAGTACCTGAAAAGGTAATCAACTCCTTAGCTTCACAATATTAGTTAATTCTAGTCGCTATGGTCAACCAACCCAGAAATGCATAATGGCTCAAACATGAAAGAAGTTTACTTCTCAGTCACATAAAGTCCAAAACGGGGTGCTGACTAGTGAGTGACCCTCCTGTAAGTGAGGTTGCAGGCTCCGTGCATCTTGTGATTCCATTAACCTCACTCCTTGGCTCCGAGGTCGCCGTGCTCACCTCCATCAACCCAGCGGGTGGAGAAAGAGCATGAAAGGGATCTTACCTGGAAGGTTTTCACAGACCCGGCCATCTCTTACATTGGCTATAAATTCAGTCATGCGCCACTCCTGACTGCGCAGGGACAGGGAAATAGAGCTTAACTTCGTGCTCAGGAAAAAGGGGGAATAGGTTTGATGACAAGCTAGCCACTCTGACACAGGCAGGTCCCAGATTCATCTTTAGATCCTCAGTCCCTGGCACTTAGGAGGTAATGGGTACTTGTCCTACACATAGTAAATTTACTAGCTCCAAAGAGGCGAGTAAATGAACAGAAGAATGAGAAAGAGAAAATGAAGTCATGGGTATCCATGCCACCTTTCAAACCAGCGTTCCCTTTTCTTCAGTATGCAGTGATTGACAGAATTTAATTTATAAACGAACTAATTTCTGGGAATGTTCTTTAAATGCTCTTATTGAAAATATGATAGTATCTCGTATAATTTGCTCATGGTACCAAAGGAAAACAAACATCATATAGCTGCTACTTCAAAAAGTATTTGGTATTCTCAGACAATACAGAATTTCGCCCATCACACACCAGCCCTAGTGAAAATGAAAGGGGTCGAGGCAGTAGGTGGTTCCCTGAGTCTTCTGTCTCAAAGGCGTGGGTATCACAGTACTGGTTTATCGGTTATCACAGAATTATGGATATTAGATCTATACCTAATTGCAGATTAAGAATATTCAGTGCTTGGAAGTTACTGCCACCCATCTGCCATGAATAGACCACATACTTTAAGCTTTTTATTAGAGTATTGAAACAGAAAAGCGTACCTATCATCCGTGTGCAACGGTGAGTTGTTACAAACTGAACAAACCCTATGAGCAGCACGCAGATCAAGAAACAACAATATGGTGTAGATACAGAGAACAGAGTAGTGGTTACCAGAGGGGAGGTGGGGAGGGGGGGTGAAATGGGTAAAGGGTATCAACTGTACCGTGACGATGGAAAATAAATTGTTGGTGGTGAGCATATTGTAGGGTATATTGAACTAGAAATATAATGTCGTACACATGAAACGTATGTAATGTTATAAATCAATGTTACCTCAAATAAAGAAAAAAAAGATTTTTTTTAACCTAAAAAAAAAGTAGGAAACAGTATCAGTGCCCCAAAGCCTCCCACATCTTGCTTCCCGTCACCACCCCCTCTCAGTGGAATACTGTCTCAGATTCATGGAATGAATTGATGCCAAGGAGCTCCATATTATATGAATTCTATTTAAGTTTTGTTTTACTGCCTTCTGATTAAGATAAAGTATGAGAACCTATCTATTTTAAGATTTGGGAGGAAAACTAATACAGAGAACCAAAAGAGTAAACTCACTTTTTTAAGAAGACTTTGTAAATATTTTCCCAAAATATGAATTCTTTTTTTTTTTTTTTTTGGCGGTCCGCGGGCCTCCCACTGTTGTGGCCTCTCCCATTGCGGAGCACAGGCTCCAGACACACAGGCTCAGCGGCCATGGCTCATGGCCCCAGCCGCTCCACGGCATGTGGGATCCCCCCGGCCCGGGGCACAAACCCGCGTCCCCTGCATCGGCAGGCGGACTCTCAACCACTGCGCCACCAGGGAATGCCCAAAATATGAATTCTAATTACGCTAAAATCTGAATAAAACATTTAATTTACTGATGACCGTGGTTTCCAATTTCCATTTTTATCAAGTCAGTAAAACCCAATTATTTTAAATATTAACAAGAAGACGCATAGTTAAGCAAAAGTTCTATAAGAAGGTTAAAATTTACTAAGTCTCCAAGTATTTGATGACCAGTTGATCTTTTCTGCTTGCCAATTTTGAAAAAAAAAAAATACGACAGATAATATCCACCAAGAACCCTTTAGTAAATAGTAGAAAGTTAGCAAGGTTTTTCAGTAAGGATTTGATTCTGGATGTAACTTGCAGGAGTTTTCTAGTGAACTAAGTTTAATTTCTCAGAGAAAAATCAGTCCAACAGCTTTTGTTGACTGTTCTACGTTTTCTAAGACAGCCATCGCTACAAAGTCTGTCTGTCACAGAAGTGGCAGAACTAGATCAGTGCTCTACCTGATGCATGGGAAGGCCACCACTGCAGTTTCTCAGATCTTTCCTAAAGCATCTCTGATGTCATTTCCTTTTCCCCTCCTGCCTATGTGAAGAGAATTTTAACACAGTTTTTATGCAAGTTAAAGCATTAGCCACGCAGGTGACTGAAGAATTGGAATTTCTGATCCCCTGATTTAAGAAATCTTAATTGCCTTCAGCCTGGAAAATATCAAAGAAAGCCATAACTGAGCTCTGGCGTGGAGAGTGGGAGGGGAATAATAAAGGAGGCGTTGCAGGCACATTGACGGATAAGGCAATTTGCAGACCCTGAAAAAGAATGGTTCTCCAAATGAGTTTTTGTAGATTATTAAAAAAAAAGATTGGGTTCTGCCCATGAATGCATTCTATGTATGATTGTTCATAGGATTGGCTATAAGATAGGATACACACCCACACCTACATATTTTTTTCCATGTTGGTTTGATTTACATGTAATATGATTCAGCTAATATCTGTCATCTCATATAGATACAATAAAAAGAAGAAGAAAAGAAAAATTTTCTCCTTGTGATGAGAACCCTTAGGATTTATTCTCTTAACTTTTTTACATATCATACAGCAGTGTTAATTATAGTCATCATTTTGTACATTATATGCCTGGTACTTACATTATAATTGGAAATTTGTACCTTTTGACTACTTTCCTCCAGTTCCTTCTCCCCTCACCAAGAACTTTATTGAACAATGTATTCACCATTTTGTTCCACTACCTTCTGCCACTTTTCAGGCAACTTCATAATTCCATCTTCCCAAAACTTTTTATTTTTTTGAGCAAAGAACTGTACCAGGTGCCGTTTATAGTCTTCCAGGGAATTGAAATATTTTCCATTAAGAGAATTTTATAAAGACTGAAATAAATGGAAATCTGAAGGTGCAATGTCTGGTGAATACAGCAGATGAATCGGAACTTCCCAGCCAATCTGTAACAGTTTTTGCCAGGTCATCAAAGAAACATGTAGTCTTGCGTTATCCTGATGGAAGATTATGCGTTTTCTGTTGACTAATTCCGGATGCTTTTTATCGAGTGCTGCTTTCAGTTGGTCTAATTGGGAGCAGTACTTGTTGGAATTAATCGTTTGGTTTTCCAGAAGGAGATCATAACAGAGGACTCCTTTCCAATCCCACCACATACACAACATCACCTTCTTTGGATGAAGACCTGCCTTTGGTGTGATTGGTGGTGGTTAATTTCACTTGCTCCACAATCTCTTCCATTCCACATTATTGTACAGTATCCGCTTTTCATTGCCCATCACAATTTGCTTTAAAAACAGAACGTTTTCGTTACGTTTCAGTAGAGAATCGTGTGCAGAAATACGGTCAAGAAATTTTTTTCGCTTAATGTATGTGGAACCCAAACATCAAAGCAATGAACATAACCAAGCTGGTGCAAATGATTTTCATTGATTGATTTGGATATTTTGAGTATGTCGGCTATCTTCCGCGTGGTATAATGTTGATTGTTCTCAATTAATGTCTCTATTTGATCGCTATCAACT